ATATTTATTATAGATTGGCAGAAGTAGGAAAATTGGAAACACCAAAATTACAAGGAAAATATGAAACTGGTCAATTAATTCTACATAGAGTATTTGGTTATCGTGGTGTAATATTGTTTCCTTGGACAGCACGGGTTTATGATAGAGATATTCCAAATAAAAAAGAAAGGTAAATTTTTTATTTAATAATTAAGTTTATATTATAAAAAACTATATAAAAATTCTATTTTAATTTAGAAACACAAATGATCATTACAATAGTGTGGGAAAAGAAGTAAAAGGAAGAACTCATACATTTTATCAGGTATTAATTGACCAAAGAGATTATCCTTTTATAGTAAGTATAATTAATGAATATAACAAAAGGATATTTTAATCTAGATAATTATTTTTTAATCAAGTATTATCTAAAAAAAATAATTCATATAAAGAAATTTAACATATTTATTAATAGTTAATATTAATATTTTAAAAATATTTTCTACACAAAAATGAAAAAATATAAAAATTAGACTTTTTAATTTTCTAGAGTAGAATATCTTTTTAGATACATAGAAAAAAAATTGATATTATAAATCATTGTCATATATTTATATATGTAGCGTGCTCAAACAGAAGCTGTAACTTTTTTGAGTAATCATGAAAGTAGTCATAGTTTATATACAGTACCAGGATTGGATTATGTTGCTCATGAAGATATTTTACCTTATACCACAAACGAAAAAACTGCATTGCAGCATGAATTATTTGACAAATTCTTAGCATATAATCCCAATCAAGAGCCATGTTTTGTGGCACAAGAAACACTCAGAGCATGGCAAAAAAAAAATCATCCATGGTTGGAATTATCAGATGTACATAAAGAAACTACTGAAAATATTCGTGTTACTGTTATTCCATTTTATATGGGTTATAGAGGAAATCAAGCTACAGCTGCACATTGGGTAATTATTATAATACAAAATATTAAAAAATAAAAATTAAAATTATATAATAATTTACAAACAGAAAATTTAAGAAAATATTCTAGCAAACATATAGAATGAAAACTCATATATTTTTGAGTTACCAATAATTTTGTACTAATAATATAAGTTCTATATTTGATAATATATGTTCTATATTTGAAAATACTCTCATATTTCAATTTAAATTTACTGAATTAATTTTTATGAAATTTTATAAAAAACAATATATTCTTCATCACTAAACATCACTGGTTTAAAAGATATGTTTAGGTTTAAAAGATCTGGGATGCTTATCAAATAACTTGTTAAAGACTTGGAAATTTGAAAAAGTTTGCAGCTCTGTAAGTAGTTAAGGTATTCAACATATGGAAGTTCAAGAATAACATATAACTTTGATAGATATTAAAAATTTGCAAGAGAATTCTTTGTTTTCAGGCTGCATACAACATATGGAAGCTCATAAGATACTTACATTACTTATATACATACAAAATTGTTGGTAACTCAAAAACTGGTGAGTTTTTGATCTATGTATTTATTAGGATTTCTTATTTAATTTATTATATATATATATATATATATATATAATATAGTATAATTATAGTATAGTATTTATTACATATATTCTAAATTGATTTTTTAACATTTTATATATTGTATAATACAAGATGTAAGTTAAGTTTGACCAACTTTAATTATTTCACGAACAAGAAAAAAATATAAAAATATAGAAAGAAATCTATATTTATTGAAGTAATACTTAAAAAATAGAAATAATCAAATATCATAATAATCTAATTTCATTTATTTTAATATTATTTTTAAAATATCCGTACTTATTTAATTTTTGTAAATTATATAATATTATAAATAAATTTATTTTAATATTATAGAGTTGTTATTTCAATATTATAAAATTATAAATATAATATTATAAAATTCATATAAATATATCGTGAATCGCGAGTTGGTCAGGCTTAAGATAAATAATTCTACACTGATTAAATAAAATATTTAGTGGCGTTATTGTATTCGTCTGGAAAATTTGGGCGATTTGAGCGTACAATTACGTGAAAGACATTGGAGGATATTTAGTCTTTCTGGTACATTGGAAACTGTTCGAGGACGAGGAGTAGTTGGTCAGGAACCTGTTTTATCAAAAATGTTACCTGCTTTTCAATATAGTAGTCATGTGAGTTTACAAGCTGCAAGTGGACATATGTGGTATGTATTTTATTAATACTTTAGATTCATAATAGAAATCTTTCTATTATGAAAATTGTTTTAAATATTTTAATATGTAATATTTTAAGAAATATTTTGTTATTTTTTAAAAATAATAATATTCAATAGTGTTTAAATTTCATATATATTTCATTTAACAAAATTAATAAAATAATGAATTTATAAAAACAAAATTAATAAAATATTATTTCTTTTAAATTTACATAGAATACATTGTAATGACTGTTAATTAAGTGAAAAAAAAGAATATTAGTTGTAAAAATATAAAAAAAAATGTAAAATAAAATTGTTAAAAATTTTCTAAATTAATTTTATATTTAAAAAAAATTTTAATTATATAATATCATTTTAGGGGTACATTTAGAATGGAAAGAGAAGATGGATATGCATTTGATTGTAGAATTCCACCATTTTCTTTGGAATCAAAAATAGAAAAACCACCTTCAAATATGAATTCTTAATTATGTAACGTCTCATAAGAAGTAATAATTATTTTGATATACTGAAAATTAATGAATAATATAACTTGATATATATGACTCTTATATAGTAATATTTATATTGGTTGTACTATTTGATTATAAATACTATGAGTAGAATTTAAGCTGTGTAGTTTTTGGTATGCAGTAAATTTATAACAAACAATTTTTTCGTATTATTTAACATGTTATTTTAGATAAGATCAGTTATAGGTATATAAATAAAATATAATTGTATAGATACATTTTCTGTTCATCCTGTAATTAATATAAGAATAAAAAAAATATAATTTCTTTAAATATTTTTAAATTTATGAAATGTCAATGTAAGATTAATAAATCTCATGTATATTAAGCTTATATTGACATATATATATAAATATATGATATATATATAAATGAATTTTTAAATATTTAATATTTAAAATATTGAGTAATATTTTTAATAAATTAAATATGATTATAGAAATATTTGAAAACAAAAGAAATTAAATTTCTTTATTAATTAGTTCATACTTAATTGAATTAATTTATGAAATTGATACTAATAAATTGTAACTAATATTTCTTATGTAAAAAATTAAAATTTTCAAAAAATTATATATCAATAATTTATAATATTTTTTTTTCAATTTTAATGAAAAATTTTTTCATTAAACT